TGAAGGAATAATGGGTAATGCATAAGATATATGGAAGGAATAATGGTAATGTATGAGATATATTGAATGAATAATGGGCAATATATGAGATATGTTTATATGTGTGGTGGTGATCGTATATTGAAGGTTAATGGTGGTGGTGATAATGGTGATGATAGTGTTGAAGGTGGTGAGTGTTGGTGGTGAATATAGTGGTGATAATGGTGATGGTAATGATCGTAGTTTGGTGAAATGATAATGGTGATGATTAGACTGGTGATGATAATGATATTAATTATGTGGTGATGACGAATATACTGCCTGATAATAATGTAATGGTGATGATGTGAATGGGATTATGATGATAATGAAGTGATGTTCATGATAATTATATGATGGTGATAGTAATGGTTGTGATGATAATTAGTGATGATGATTGATGATGATATTGATGTGATAGTGATGATGATAATGATGTGAAGGTGATGATAATTGATGGTAATGATAGTGACGATGTTGTGGTGATGTTAAATGATGTGATGGTGAATAATGATGTGAAAAGTGATGTGATGGTAATGATGTGATGATGATGAAAATAATGTGTTGATGGTGATGATAAGGATACTGACGACATTAATGAAAACAGTGATAAGAGTAGTGATGATAGTACATTATCACCGATAAGTGATGATGATATTCACACATGATAAGACGGATATCAACAAGTACGTATCATCATACTGCCTTACTGAAGCTACTGCAACACTATCACTATCATTAATTACCATCATTACTGTTATCATCATATCATTATCATTATTGTTACTTTTGTTATTATCATCATTGTCATTATCATTATTGTTACTTTTGTTATTGTCATCATTGTCATTATCATTGTAATCATTTTCATTATCATCATCATTCTTATGATCATTATCATTATCTTTTCTTATCATAATCATCATTCTTATTATTTCATTATGATTATCATTATTTTCATAATCAAACTATGATATTAAAATTATTATTATTATTATTAACAACAATAGTAATAGTAATAACAATAACACGGTTACTTTTACTTAATACTAATTCTGAAATCATAGTGTGATTATGAAAATAATGATAATGATAATAATCATAATGGTAATAGTGATAATGATAATGACATAATAATGAGTGGTAATAGAGATAATGATAATAATAGTAAAAGTTATAGTAGTAGTAATAACGGTTGCACTACTTATATCATAGAAATAGTGATAGCGATGATGATAATAACAATGATAATGATACTGATCATAGTAACAAGGGTAATAATAATAACAATGATATTAAAGATTATAATAATCCTAATAACGGATAACAGCAATAACAACAATCAAAGCAATATCAACCCAAGCCAAACTCAACTCAAGCCAACTCAACCAACTTAACACAACCCAACTCAACCCAATTCAACTTAACTCAACCCAATCCAACTCAACCCAACTAACCCAATCCAACCCAACTCAACCCAATCCAACCCAACTCAACCCAATTCAACTTAACTCAACCCAATTCAACTTAACTCAACCCAATTCAACTTAACTCAACCCAACCCAACCCAACTCAACCCAAGCCAACCAACCCAATCCAACCCAACTCAACCCAACCCAACTCAACCCAACTCAACCCAACCCAACTCAACCCAATCCAACCCAACCCAACTCAACCCAACAACCCAAGCCAACCCAACCCAATCCACCCAACTCAACCCAACCCAACTCAACCCAACTCAACCCAACCCAACTCAACCCAATCCAACCCAACCCAACTCAACCCAACTCAACCCAACCCAACTCAACCCAACCCAACCCAATCCAACCCAACTCAACCCAACCCAACTCAACCCAATCCAACCCAACCCAACTCAACCCAACTCAACCCAACCCAACTCAACCCAACCCAACCCAACCCAATCCAACCCAACTCAACCCAACCCAACTCAACCCAACCCAACTCAACCCAACTCAACCCAATCCAACCCAATTCATCCCAACTCAACCCAACCCAACTCAACCCAACCAACTCAACCCAATCCAACCCAATTCATCCCAACTCAACCCAACCCAACCCAACTCAACCAATTCAACCCAACCCAACCCAACCCAACTCAACCCAACCCAATCCAACCCAACTCAACCCAACCCAAGCCAACTCAACCCAACTCAACCCAACCCAACTCAACCCAACCCAACTCAACCCAACCCAACTCAACCAACCCAACCCAACTCAACCAAACCCAACTCAACCCAACTCAACCGAACCCAACGAACTCAACCCACTCAACCCAACCCAACTCAACCCAACCCAACCCAACCCAACCCAACCCAATCCAACCCAACTCAACCCAACCCAACTCAACCCAACACAACTCAACCCAATCCAACCCAACTCACCCAACCCAACTCAACCAACTCAACCCAACCCAACCCAACTCAACCCAACCCAACCCAACCCAACTCAACCCAACCCAACTCAACCCAACCCAACCCACTCAACCCAACCCAACCCAACTCAACCCAACTCAACCCAACCCAACTTAACCCAACCCAACCCAACCCAACCCAACTCAACCCAACCCAACTCAACCCAACCCAACCCAACTCCAACCCAACCCAACTCAACCCAACTCAACCCAAGCCAACCCAACTCAACCCAACTCAACCCAATCCAACCCAACTCAACCCAACCCAACTCAACCCAATCCAACCCAACTCAACCCAACCCAATCCAACCCAACTCAACCCAACCCAATCCAACCCATCTCAACCCAACCCAACCCAACCCAACCCAACTCAACCCAACTCAACCCAATCCAACCCAACTCAACCCAACCCAACTCAACCCAACTCAACCCAACCCAATCCAACCCATCTCAACCCAACCCAACCCAACCCAACCCAACTCAACCCAACTCAACCCAACCCAACCCAACTCAACCAAACCCAACTCAACCAACTCAACCCAACCAACCGAACTCAAACCAACTCAACCCAACCCAACTCAACCCAACCCAACCCAACCCAACCCAACCCAATCCAACCCAACTCAACCCAACCCAACTCAACCCAACACAACTCAACCCAATCCAACCAACTCAACCCAACCCAACTCAACCCAACTCAACCCAACCCAACCCAACTCAACCCAACCCAACCCAACCAACTCAACCCAACCCAACTCAAGCCCAACCCAACCCAACTCAACCCAACCCAACCCAACTCAACCCAACCCAACCCAACTCAACCCAACCCAACCCAACTCAACCCAACCCAACCCAACTCAACCCAACCCAACTCAACCCAACCCAACCCAACTCAACCCAACCCAACTCAACCAACCCAACCCAACTCAACCCAACCCAACTCAACCCAACCCAATCCAACCCAACTCAACCCAACCCAACCCAACCCAACTCAACCCAACCCAACTCAACCCAACCCAATCCACCCAACTCAACCCAACCCACCCAACTCAACCCAACCCAACTCAACCCAACTCAACCAACCCAACTCAACCCAACCCAACCCAACTCAACCCACCCAACTCAACCCAACTCAACCCAACCCAACTCAACCCAACTCAACCCAACCCAACTCAACCCAACCCAACCCAACCCAATCCAACCCAACCCAACCCAACTCAACCCAATCCAACCCAACCCAACCCAACTCAACCCCAACCCAACCCAACTCAACCCAACCCACTCAACCCAACCAACCCAACCCAACTCAACCCAACCCAACCCAACCCAACTCAACCCAACTCACAACATTCTGTCTTACAGGATGATAAAAGTCTCAAGGAACTCTACTTATCATGCTTCCTTATCCCGAACATCCTTGCTGGGATAAAATCACTTCACTGGTAAGTAGGATAATAATGAATAGTAATAATAGTGATAATGATTTTGATGGTGACAGTAAGTGGAATGATGATAGTGATAGTGGTGATAAGGATAAGGATGAATAAGGTGATAAGGTGATAAGGATGATGATGAATATAGCTGATAATAGTAATGATGATAATGGTGATTGTAATGGTGATAATAACGATAATGGTAATGCGAATAGTAATGCTACTAATCATAAGGTTATTGATAATGATAGTAATGATAATAATGATAAAGATGATAATAATGAAAATAATGATAATAAAAAAATATAACAATAATGATAATTGTAATAATGATAATGATGATAATGATAATAGTAATAATGACAATAGTGATGAGGATGATAATAATAATAAGAATGATAATTATGATCATAACACTAATATCAATAATACTAATTACTGAGAATAATAGAATGTTTGTAATAATAATTATTTTGTGAATATGAATATTGCTGGGATGTTGAACAAACACACACATACCCAAACCCACTCACCCTCACACCCACCCACGTATCCACACCACACACACACACACGTATCCAACACACACAACACTCGTATCCACACACACACACACACGTATCCACACACACACACACTCGTATCCACACACACACACACACACCACACTCGTATCCACACCCACACCACGTATCCACACACACACGTATCCACACCCACACCACTCACCCCCCCCCCACACACACACACACACACCCACGTATCCACACAGCTAAACAGCCAAAACATATATTCCCAGGTACTGGCTTCAGTACTATGGCGGGGACCTGACACGCGAAGAGAAGAGGAGAGAAGAAAAGAAAAGTACTTGGGTTTTTCGTCTCGTTTTCTTCTTCTTCAGCCCAATCCCCAGGTAAGACTGACAGGTGTCGTGGGAAAAGGGGAGGCGGATAAGAGGGAGTAAGGTGGTGATAGGTAAATGGGAGATAGATAAGGGAAGGTGAGAGCGAGAAAGTTGGAGGATAGCAAGAAAGTCTAAGCTATTTATAATGGTGTAGATACAAGGGTGATGGAATAATGGTGGTGATAAAAGGGTGATGGAATAATGGTGTAGATACAGTGGGTGATAAAACATCCCTTTTTAGAACAAATCTGCTTACGCTCCCCCCCCCCCTTTCCCCTTCTCAAAAAAAAAAAAAAAAAAAATCATAATCTATTTTTCACAACCATTCTACGGGTATACCCCCCACCCCCACCCCCACCCCCCACCAAGAAAAAAAAAAAAAAAGCCCACAAACCAGAGATCCCAACCTCTTTCCTCCTCCCCTCGAGGTTCGTCGACGTCCTCAGACTGGGCCTCCGAGAGCGACACGAGGTCCTCGGCGCGTGCTCGAGGGTCGAGGCCGACGCCGCCTACAAGCAGTACCTCGAGGCCGCCACGACCCTCTGCGTCCTCCGTTTCTTCGAGGTCTTCCTCATGGACGCCCCGCTGCTCACCCTCAAGCTGCAGGACTTGGTCGAGGCTTACCAGGAGGGGGACGGTGAGGGGGCGGGGTGGGGTGGGTGGGGGAGGGGTGGTGGGGGTAGGGTTGGCTTGGGTTGGGTTAGTTTGGATTAT